ACATTTTTTATCATTCAGGATTATACATAATTTTGCTGAGTAAATTATTTTTGTCTGCAATCCCAGTTCTTTTGCTCTTCAATATATAGTGTTCCAAGACCTGCTGTCTTTTAGTGTAGCAACTGCTAGGTCTTGTGCAATTCTGATTGTGGCTCCACAGTATTTGAATTGTTTTCTTTTTTCTTCTTAACTTGGTGGTTTTGCAACTTGGCTACAATGTTCTTGTAGGTTTTCATCCTGGGATCTCTTTCAGGTGGTGATCGGTGGATTTTTTTTTTTGTATTTCTACTTTCCCATTTTGTTTTAAAACTTCAGGTCAATTTTCTTTTATTATTTCTTATAATATTGTATCAAGATTATTTTTTTTGATTAGCTTTCAGGTAGTACGATAATTCTTACATTTTTTTCTTCTTGATCGGTTCTCTATTTTTCTTGTGAGATGTTTCATATTCCCTTCTATTTTTTCATTCTTTTGATTTTGTTTTTATTATTTTTTGGTATCTTATAATGTCATTCTCTTCCCCTTGCCCAGTTCTAGTTTTCAAGGAATTATTTTTTTTCCTTAAGACTCTGGATCTTCTTTTTCCCAGTTGGTTGACTTTCTTTTCATAATTTTCTTGGTTTTCTTGGATTGTTCTTATTTTCCTAATTTTCCCTCAATCTCTGTTATTTGATCTTTGAAGTCCTTTTTAAGTTCTTCCCAGAACTCTTTTTGGGCACGTGACCATTTGACGTTGCTCTTTGGGGTAGGAGAGGCTTTTTTTTTTTTACTTCAGTATCCTCCTCTAAATATGAACCCAGGTCTTGTCTATCCCCATAGTAGCTGTCTATGGTTGGGTTCTTTCTCTTTTTCTTACTCATTTTAATTTTTTTTAAAATTTTTATTTTTAGCAGCTTGTTGTTATAATTGCCTTCAGTCCTGGGGTGTGGGGGATGGTGTCTCTGGCCTCAGGTCCTTTTTACTGTTATTTTCTGAGCTGTATCCAGGATCCAACCTCAGCATTCCTCTCCCCCTCCAAACCACAGCTAGGGCCCCCAGCCATACTATGCTGGAAATGCCCTTGCTCCCTGAGGACCCTTCAGTGGATGTAACCTTCAGTTCTGCCCTCTGGCCTGGAACCAAAAGCAGGAACTTAGCTCTCCTGCAAGTGCCCACAGCCAGCAGCATTCTGCCCCACTGCTTCTGCACTCACCAAGCATATTCTAGTCTCTTCTTGCCTTCAGCTGCGGCACAGGACTGCATCTCCAAGTTCAGTCCTCCCCTGCTCAGATGTTTACCCCCCACACTGTTGGTGAGATAAGAATTCCTATGACTGAGGTTAAGGCTACCTCTTAACCACGCTCCCATGACTTGTTGTTTGGTGTTTAGTGGAAATAGCCTGAAGGTGTTGCACTTCACTCAGGCCACCTCTGTCCCTGAGGTCTTTCCTAAATCTCCAGTTGTTCCAGGAGGACCACCGCTTTGCCCCAAATCTTGTTTATTTTTGCCCCTCTATGTTCAACTTGAGGTGCTGTTTTGTCTTGTTTGTAGAGGAAGTCTGGTGAGCTTGGAATTTTCTGACCTACTCTGCCATCTTCCTAGAATCCCTCCCCTCCCCCAATTTGGGGTTTTCTTGGCAAAGATACTAGAATGGTTTGTCATTTCCTTCTCCAGTTCATTTTACAGATGAGGAAATTGAGGCAAGCAGGGTTAAGTGACTTGCCCAGGGTCACACAGCTAGTAAGTGTCCAAGACCAAACTGGAATTCAGGTCTTCATGACTCCAGGCCCAACACTATCCACTGAGCCACCTAGCTGCCCCATGGGGGAGGTTAGAGGGAAAGAAAATAGACTTTTGTTCATTGAAAAATGCTAACTTAAATTTAAAAACAAAACAAGACTTGGAAATTGATTGGATATGGCAAGGATTGGGGGGGAGTATGAAAAAATCTCACTGGCTGGAAGACTAGGAGTGTCCTTGACAGAATTAGGAAAGGCAGGAGGAGGAAGTGGGTTTAGGAGGAAACATAATGAACTCTGTTTTGAACATGTTGGAATTTCAGATGCCTGTAGGAAGTCCAGTTGGATATGTCAAGCAGGCTGTTGGAGACTAGAGCTCAGGGGAGGAAAGGGCTGGATAAGTATATTTTGTTGCTTTAAAATTTTCCCTTAAACCTTATTTGGTTAAGAATTCACCTCTAGGAAAGAGGAGACCAATGAATTGGGCATGCAACTAGAAAAGTTAAAAAAAGAACAAATTAAAAATCCCCAATTAAATACCAAATGAGAAATACTGAAAACCAAAGGAGAGATTAATAAAATTGAAATTAAGAAAACTATTGAACTAATAAATAAAACTAAGAGCTGGTTTTATGAGAAAAAACGAATAAAATAGATAAACTTTTGGTTAATTTGATTTAAAAAGAAAAGAAAGAAGAAAACCAAATTACCAGTATCAAAAATGAAATGGGTGAATTCACCACCAATAAAGAGGAAATTAAAACAATAATTAGGAACTATTTTGCCCAACTGTATGGCAATAAATTTGACAATCTTAATTAAATGGATGACTATTTACAAAAATATAAATTGCCCAGATTAAGAGAAAAGGAAATAAAATACTTAAATGACCCCATTTCAGAAAAAGAATTCCCCTCTAGACATAGCTGTGAAAGGTATCTCCTCTTGTTCTCTTTTATTACTCTACAAATTCCCAACATTTTAAAATGGCAAATGTTACAAAAATAAATCAGGCAACATTCAGAAAGATGTCTCTCAGAGAAAGCATGCTTCAATTTTCTTTATTTTTGCCTGAAATACACAAATAACATGATAAGCATTAGCTTGAACTTTAAGGGCATTAGGCAAAGCACATGTATGTTGTGACAGTCTTTCAAAATAAAAATTTTAACAAACAAATTCAAGCTGGACATCATTGTTTCACTTGCTTTTCAGGTCCCCACTGCTTTGAAGTAGAAACAATATTTCACATGCAGACAAATAAGTTTCATTCCTTAATAAGGCCAAATATTGTTCGATATTCTGGTATCTAGGAGAAACTTGAGTTGGTCACCACTCATAATGACACTTGACTGCTTGCAGGACCTCATAAATAAACCAATGTCAAGGAAATTCTAAACAATAGAAAAAATGAAAATACTAGACTATTATGAGATCTATTTGAGATCTAGGACCATTTTGTTCATATTATTCTGTACCCCACTAAGTCTATCTCAGTGCCTTGGACAATAGGCACTTAATACATATTGGTTAACTGAATGTTTTAAAATAAGTGTTGGGCAGGATTTTCAGTGAATAACTATCTCAGTGGGAAATGAATGTTAATTATCCATTCTGATGATGAATGGTCAGGAAGCTGTTGTTTGCATGAATGTAAAATGAAATTCTTTTAGTTCTGATCTAGCCCTGTGCTTTCATCAGTGTGGACTCCCAGTATGGACAGTATCCACTGATTGAGATCAGTAACTGACCTAAAACTTACAGTCTTAGAGAGTTACCTGTGCCATTGAAAGGTTAAGTGATTTGTGTGTGGTCACATACCCAGTATTTTTCAGAAGCAGGGTTTGAACTCAAATCTTCCTGATATATAGCCTCTCCTGAGGTAGGTTGCAGGAAAATAAATTTTACTAAAATTCAATTTCAGTTTTAAAGAACCACATGTTCTAACTAAAGCTACAACCAAGGAAATAAAATCCCCTATTAATTTTTCAGTAAACAGCAACAGTCTACATTTTTCTTTGGCAGTGGTTGCCACCAATATCTTCAAACAATTTCTCTCCAAGCAAATGAGAAAAAGAATGTTTCTACCTTAAATTATATATGTGTGTGTGTGTATGATACACATATATACATACATGTGTATGTCTATATATACATGTATATATGTGTGTGTTTGTGTGTATGCATACTAAAGGAATCCTTGTGATGGTGTTTTCTACCATTCCCCCTCCCCCATAAACACATCTCTTAATCTGCTCCTAGGTAGTGACTGACATTCTGTGCTTCACCCACCTCCCCATGACTGTTTTATCTTCTAGAATTCCCAAGCCTGGGCCTTGTAACAGGTAGAAATCTAGCCCATCATCCAGTGGCAGTGCTAACCCCCTTTGATAGACTTTGTCACTTATCAACAAGCAGCATTTTTAAATGACAAAGCTTACATAAAATGTTTAACTGCATGATTTTTAAAAAAAATGCTTCAGGAACCCTGTACCAATTCTGTTGAACATCTATTTTAAAATGAGGTAAATCCAGAACTGAGATTTTTTTTAAACATGATATCAGTTATCATCAATAGCAAACCGTACCCTTGAGGCTGTCTTTGGTGGTCGATATTTGGTTTTTAGGTGAGTAGCTTTAGAAATGTGCTTTGACAGAAACATACAGTGAGTCAACTAGTTATTATAATTACATGATGTTTAATATATTGAATTCCTTTAAACAAAAAGCAGACTCCTCCTGACACTTTTATAATAAGCTTTCATATTGAAAAGTTAAACCACATTTGATTACCTTTTTATTCCAATGCTACATACAATGTATGGGTATTTATACACGTGCAATATTTAAATATACATATATTATCACTACATTTAATCATCTAGGAAGAATTTTATTATATGCCATGTATTTTTTACAAGACAATATTTGAGTCACTTTTAAGTAACATACATTCACATTTAAAAATGTAAAATCACAAAGAAATTTAGGTGCTGCAAGACAATCTTTAACCAGCTCCATATTCATATGCCCAGGCGGCCTAAAGAAAAATGAAGAGAAGGAACAAACCAGATGTGTGTGCTTAAAATATTTCTCTACATTTTAAAATGTAGACCCAGTGGTTTAAAAGCCCAAGATTGTCAACAAACAAAAAGGATTTTGTAGGTTTAAAAGGGAGCAGAAAGGAGCTTGGGTAGGAAAATGGGAATAGGAATGCACTGAACAGATAGATTCCTGTAGGTGCTGTTTTTCCCAACAAAATCCCCTAACAAAGCATGGTATTTTTCTTATTATCTCAGCTCTTTTCAGGTTATGAGACTCTATTTTCTGGTTCTGATCCTTCTCTTGGTCCGGTAGAAAATTGAAACCAGTGAGCTGATTGACACAGAACTGCTACATCACAATATGACAGCTCCCATTATCCTAGCAAGTCAATCTCAGAAGCAGGTTGGCCACTGACAGCTTAGAGGTCATTCCATGCACTTGAATTCATATCTTGGCGGATTAAAATCTGTTCTTAGGGGTTCTTGGAATCATGGAAAAACAGAATCTGGAAAGAGTTACAAGTACAAATAACAGTTTGTGATGGAAAACTGTATGGTGGCATGCAGAAAGTCATAGTACCCATAACCACTTGGTATATAAAAGACACTATGAAGGATTTGTATGAAAGGAGGTGGGTTGGTGATGTTTGGAAAATTACAGACAAGGGGTGGGCAGCCTCAGTGGGCAGTATTGGTACATTCCTTCATTCCTCCCTGGGCCCCACTCCTGACTCTCCAGACTTCTTTCTGAACAACAATCTTGCAGCCTTTTTACCTAGGGAGATCATACCCCCATGTTCCCTTCATCTGATTGGTCAGTTCTTTGAGGGACCTCCATGTTAAGGAACATGTCCAAGCCAGCCATGTTCACTCTTTCATTCCTTTCCAGGTCATGCTCTCGACTCTCTGGCTTCTTTCTTCACCATACCGCCTCTGCAAGGACCTTCTCTGTCCTTGTTCCCTATGTTACAATTTCCATCTATGGGTTGTCTTCCCCTATTTGAATATGAGCTCACTGAAGGCAGGAACTGTCTATTTGCTTGTATTTATATTCCCAGAGTTTAGCACAGTATCTAGCAGCTAGTGAGCTCTTAATAAATGCTTATTGACTACCCACCAACTTTGCCTAATTTGAATACTAAAAACTATCAACAATTTAGCCTGTTGGGTTGATATTATGTGGAAGGTTAATGGGACATTCTGGACAAGAATTACATAGACTGAGAAGGCCTAGGTGGGTTTTGACCTACACAAATGACAGGAGAGTCTACAGATTAAAAACTGGAGACCTATCAAATCAATAAATTTATCAGCAAGTTTTTTTTTGAGGGGGAGGCCCAAGGCATTTGGGGTTAAGTGACTTGGCCAAGGTCACACAGCTAGTAAGTGTAAAGTATCTGAGGCTGGATCTGAACTCAGGTCCTTCTAACTCCAGGGCTGGTGCTCTATCCCCTATGTCACCTAATTGCCCCCATCTGTAAGTTTTAATCGAGCATTTACTATGTAGTAAGTACCAAAGCAAGGTCCTAGCCCTGCTTTAAAGGGTTCGAAACATCCTCAAGAGAGTGGGTCATTTCTAGTACTTTTCTACCTGGACCAACCATTACAAGAACCTGCCTGCCTTATTACAAGTAACTTAGGAGTCTTTTACCTGTTATGTTTTAAGGGATTCTCCAAGCACCTTTCCCTCTGATGCCTGACATCTTAATATTAAGTATTCATTTTTGGGGGTGGGGTGGGGTAGGGTAGTGGTTAAATGCCAAAGACAAACTTTCCCTTTGTCACAATTTTGCCCAGGGCCCTTTTGTGTCTAGAGTAGATAGTAAAAGTCTTATACTTCATTAGATCCAGACTCCAGGGAAGTTCCAGACTGGGGGGGGGGGGTCCCCAGGCAGGGCCTCCTGCATCTAAATCCACCTTCTCTAGGAGAACCTCAGGGAAATAGGATCAGGAGGGATGGAACTATTAAGAAGGAAGAGAATGTTATATAGTCAACGCCACAAAGTAGAACTCACGATGGTATGGAGCTTTGACCACTTGGAAAGATAGGAAACTATCCATGAAGCCACTGGGAACATCACCAAACTGCCGCCTAGACAGCATGGTGGGTTTTCACTGGGAGAAACAGCTAGAGATGGAGATCTCTGTGTTCTCATTAGACCTGAAATTTTTTTTCACTTCAAATATGCCCAGCTATAACGAACTAACTGATTTCTATATCGTATTTGATTGAAATATTTTACTGGATCACTCACAGCCAATAATCATTCTTCAAAAAAATTAGAATGTTAGTGAACTATGGACACAGCTTGTCATTGAGTAAACACAACAAATTTTTATTTGTCATATATAATAGTGGAATTTGTGTGTGTATATGTATAACATATACACATACAAATAAATACATATTTCATTGTATATGAATCTTAGTTGCTTTGTAAATGCTGTGTATTGTACTAGGTTATGGTGGCTAACACCAAATAGAGGATTTTATTAGAATAATGATTTAATTTCACATCTACTTAGCTTGGAAACAAAAAATAGAGCACTGGTATGTAATATCATTCAAAAACTTAGAGAAATTATAATTGCTATTGTCTGAAGATATGTATTCAATACATCTTTCTAATAAATAGAAGTTTCTTGCTACTTTACAGAGCAGAAGGGAGACTAAGGTTGTGAGTCTGCTGGGGCATCTCCCGGGTTGGGTTTTTCTTCCAGCACAGAATGACTCAGAAATTGGCCTGTAGCACCAATGTATAATCTTGATCGCATGGGCCATTTCTAAAATAAAAAAAAAAAGAATATTCAAATGAGATTCAAAATGTCATCACTTATGTATTTAATTTGCTTACTGATTCCTGAAATAAACAGACCAATTCAATAACCCTGAAAGAAAAATGTCTATTTTGGGAAACTTTCTCAATACAAATATTTATCACTTTTTAACACCCCCCCTTCACTATCTACTCCCCAACCCTCAACTAAACTATATACACATGTGTCTACAGAGGTACACCAAGATGTTTTCATTTTAAACCTCATTATATTTGCAATTGGTCTGAGAGACAGCATGGTGTACTGGATAGAGAACTGACCTTACCAGGAAGACCCAGTTCATGCCCTGCCTCTGACTCATATTGGCTGCATGATTTTGCATACATATTTAACCCCTTAGTGCTAGAGGCAACTCTAAAAGATTATAAATTGCTAAGAAAGTACTAAGCTTATCTGAGAATTCCATCTGCCAATGACATCATAGGTCTAGGCCATATTCCTACATCTGGTTTAAAACTTCAGTTTAGACGTTGCTTTAAAAACAACTATCTAGGACTGGGGGTAGGGATAGGAGGGAGAGAATAACCCAGGCCTGTAACCCCTTTTACTGGAGAGTCTGAGGCTGGTAGATTGCTTGAGTTTGGTAAGGACAAAGTGATTAGGTGATCACATTAAGTCTGGCACCAATATGGTGGTCCCCCAGGAACATTGCTAAAAACATTGCTTAAAAAAACCAAAAAACATTTGCCTAAAAAGAGACAAACCAGACTAGGTCAGAAACTGAATAAGTCAGTAAGGTCGGGCCCATGAGAGACTGCTATACTTCCAGCCAAAATAAAATAGAGATCCGATCTCAAAACCAACAACAATAACAACAAAATCCAATGAAACACCACCAACAACTCTTTTTAAAAAGCTATACATGATAAAGTCTATGCAGTACCAAACCATTATAATGAAAAATTTAATCATCCAGATGTCTTACCTACTTACTTAATAACAGCATCGTATAATTGTAAAGATCAGAATGTCTGTTGTTGAGTTATTAACCACTTGAGTGATTACATTTTCTATCTTTTAGCCAACTATGTCAGAATTATTTAGATACTGTTTATACATTGTTGTTATGTCTGTATTGATTTCTATTAATGTTATTTTAAAAATCCATTCAAACCATATAATTTAACTCTCTCCATCCTAAAGAGATTTAACAATGAAATTTTTTAAAAATGCAACAAGGCCCATAATGGCAGCATGGCCAAGCAGACGACTGAACTTGCAGTCAGAAAGACCTGGATTTGAATTTTATTTCAAACACTCATTGGCTCTATAGCTATTAGAAAGTCACTTAAATTCTCTGAGCCTCGATTTCCTCATCTCAAGAGAGAGAATAATACCTGTGGTTCCTTTCTCACAGAGCTGTTGTAAGACTCAGATGAGCTGCAAACTTAAAGTGCTTTGCAGATTATTTTTATTAGAAGAATCATCTCGGAAGAAATATTTTGCCCATAATGTAATGTGACTTGAAATAATCTATGCCTTTAGCATCCTTCATGAAAATAATCTTTGGAGAGTTTTCTGGCTATGCTATTTTTTCATATGTCACCTAAAAATTGGATGCTAAAGGTAGCAGTAGGGAACACTGAGCAGAAATAAGATACTTCTGTTCTTATGCCAAATAGTGAGTGACACAAAGTTCATACTACTATTATTTGTCACTATCATTTCTCCAGTTATAACACAGAATTGTGTTGTTTATGTCATGTAAAGGTGCCCTCAACTCTCATGAGTTTACTTAGCATGATTCTACTAAAATGTCAAAACATATACAAAAACATGAAAACTAGCTTGACACATTTCCACATACAGTCAAGGTATGGCGATAAAATATTTTTAGGCTTCAAGGAAGCAGCTTTCAGTAGAATATAGAGTGCTGAGGATAGAGTCAGAAAGACTCCTATTTCAAATATTAATTAGCTGTGTGACCCTGGGAAAGTAAGTCACAGCCTCTATCAGCTCTCTTTCCTCATCTATAAAAATTGAGATAATTATAGCATCTACCTCACAGGGCTGTTGTGAAGATCAAATGATGTAATATATGTAAAGTGCTTTGCAAACCTTAAGGCACTATATAAATGCTAGCTATTATTAGTATTATGTGTCTTATGAAAATCAGTCCTGTTATTTCCTGGTCCCATGGCATACATCTGTATCTACACCAAGGCCCCCCACTGAGGGGCTATCTCACAGACACCAGTACTTGGCAATGTAATTTACCAAATACTTAAGCAATTATGATGTGCTAAACTCTAAGCTAGGGATAAGAACACACAAAAGGACAGGAATAACACGGCACAACAGTGAATGAAAATAGATGCTTAATCAGTGCCTTAAACTAGACATCAGGAGGCCTGGGTTCTAGACCTCCATCACACTCACTGGTTCTGTTGTTACTTTGGCAAAGTGACCATATCTCTCTGACCCTCAGCCTGCTCATTTGTTTTTGGTTTTCGATTTTCCTTTTTTTTTTTTTAACAATTACATGTAAAAACAACTTTTTAACTTTTAAAAAAAATTTTGAGTTCCAAATTCTCTCTCTCTCCCCCACTCCCCTCCCCCAAGATGGCAATTTGATATAGGTTACACATGTGCAGTCATGCAGAACGTATTTCCATATTAGTCATGTTGTGAAAGAAAACACAGGCTGAAAAATTTTTTAAAACCCATACAAAAAAGGAAAAGTAGTATGCTTCGATCTGTATTCAGACTCTATCAGTTCTCTCTCTGGAGGTGGATAGCAGTTTTCATCAGGAGTCCTTTGAAATCATATTAGATCATTATATTGCTGAGAATGGTTAAGTCACTCACAGTTGATTATTGTTCTTTGAGGGCAGATGCTGTTTTTATTTTTGCCTTGGTAGTCCTAGTAGGCAGGACAATGCCTAGCACATAGTAGGAGCTTGCCCATGATTGGTCTTCTCATTCTTCATTACATTTGTATACCCACATCTGCATAGTCATTGCCTAGTGGATAGATATCTACTTTGTTTCACACATTGCTTTCAGCTCCAGCACAGTTCGTAGTATTTTTTTGGCTGAGTCAGCTCAGTTGTGTCTGGCCACATTTAGGGTTTTCTTGGCAAGGGTGCTGGAGTGGTTTGCCATTTCTTTCTCCAGCCCATTTTACAGATGAGAAAACTGAGGCAAACAGGGTTAAGTGAGCTGCCCAGGGTCCCACAGGTAACATCTGTGTCTGAGGCTGCATTTGAACTCATGAAGATGACACTTCCTGATTCTAAGCCTACCGCTCTATCCACTGGGTCACCTCACTGTCCGTCATATAGCATACAGTAGGCATTTAGTAAATGCTTAGTGATTGAAAACAATAGCAAAAAAAACCCCCAAAACAACCCAATATGATGAAATATAATGTTTGCTGTTTGGCATTTAAAGCTCTTCATAACCTTGATATCTCTCCAGTCTTACATTTTTACTTTTCTTTGCCCACTCTACAGTGGCGATTAATGGCTTATATTCCTGGCACTGGATACTGCATACTTTTGCCTTGGCTGTCCCTATACCTGGAAAGCCCTCCCTCTTTTCCCTCTGTCTCTTAGCTTTCTCTGGCTTCCTTCAAGATTCAGTTCAGATCCCACCTTCTGCAGAAAGCCTTCCCTTGTCCCTCCAACACCCCTACCCCAGAGTCTTCCCTTCTGAGATTTCCTTCTGTCTCTTCTTTACAAATCATGTAATGAGTTAGCTATAGAGCCAGTAGGTGGCTTAGCAGACAGAACATTGAGCCTGGAGACAGGAAGAATACTCTTCCTGAGTTCAAATCTGAGCTCAGACACTTACTGGCTGTATGACCTTGGGCAAGTCCCTTAACCCTGCTTGCATCAATTTCCTCACCTGTAAAATGAGCTGGAGAAGGAAATGGCAAATTACTTCAATATATTTTCCAAGAAAACCCAAATGGGGTCACGAAGAGCTGGACACTACAAAATAATAGCAACAAAACTGGTTATCTACATGTTGTCTCCCCCAATTACAAGTGAGCTCTTTGAGGGGTAGGGTTATTTTCACTTTTCTTTGTAACACCAGTGCTTAGCAAAATGGCTGGCATATAGTAAATGCTTAATAAATCTTTGTTTTTTGTTTCATTTAATTGATTGAACTGATCATGAGCCAGAAATGTGGGAACTTTAAACCAGACATTTCAAAGAAAATGAATTAGCTACTCTGGCTAGTTTTTGTCAGCATGATGCCTTAGCATAACCAATTGATTGCATCTTCAAATGATTATTTAGCATCATTTTGAGAAGCAACAGAAGGATGTGGTGTCATGGAAAGAAAGCTGGATTTGGAGCCAGAAAACCTGAGTTTGCATTTTGTTAGCTGCAACTGCCAACTACAAATCACAACTTCTGGGAGCCTTAGTCATCTCCTATGTACGATGGAGACAATATTTGTATTACCTTTCTCAAGGAGTTGTTGTGAAGTTCAAATGATATAATGTAAAAGGTGTCACACACTTTAAAATCTATATGCATGTAAATGAAAGAAATGAGCACAATCCCAACAGGAATTTTTCCTGGGAAGACATACACTATTTTGAAATATAGCATATCCCTAATTGAGAGGCAGTCTGGCACAGTGCTTCAAGGGCCAGATTGAATCCGGGGTAGCTAGATTCAAGATCTTAACACATACTATGGGATTTGGGGATTCTAAGACATTTCACCTCTCAATGCCCCAGACTACTTTCTCAGACCATAAAATGCAAAATGAATTAGTAGAGGAAGTTTCCACCATTATTTCTCTAATGATGCAGGACTCAACCTAAGTGTCTAAATATTTAGAAATGTTTATGCACTGCACTTTTAGATGAGCCAAATGGCAAGTTTTAAAAACCCAACAAATTAATATCTTTAATTTGCCAGAAAAATTAACCTCTAGGAACATGACTGTAGGCATAGCCTATATCTTCTATATCACAAATCTGGCAC